TCTTCTTTCTGTGCTGAAACTGGGACGGAAGAGGTGCTCAAGATAATTATCCAGCATTGTAAGAAATAAAAAGGAGAGAAGGTGAAAGGTGAAGTTCTGGGTCTTCATTCTGATGAGTTGGTGTGTAATCATCCTGCAGTGCTAAGCAATTGCTGGAATGAACTGTACAGTGACCACCATTGCTCTTGCAAAGTGCAGTCGGTGTGTAAGAAAGGTTTGATGTGGTAATGCACAGTGGTTGGTAATAGATTGAGATTTGTGTTCCTTGATGACTGTCAGAACCTCACATTGTATATCTAGGTTTTACAAATGAAAATTAGATGATTTATGGAAGGCGGGTATATAGGGGCCTGCCTTATACCGAATCTGAGAACTTCTGCATGCAACGTCTGTCTCTAGTACTGAGTTATTACCCTTGTCCATCAATAGCCATTAGCTATGATGGCCAAATGGAACCTCCATGAAGTTTATAGCTGAAGCCCAGATTCTTGAAACAAATAGGGAATGGCCATCGCACTTGTGCCATCTTTATGACTTTTCAGAGACATTCATCTATATACCATTGGAATCAGGATGCTGCACTAGATGGAAAGTTGTATATTATAATTTGCATTCTGCAGACATAGATCCATCTTGGCTGCCATTGCAAACATTCCAATTTAGTTCAGGTGCATATTGAATAATATCTATATCCCTTCATTCTGTTGCATGTATTTTTAGGATTGCTTTTTGCTAGACAGGACAATGTGTGCAGCTAGTTGCTATCTCCTCTGGAACTACTCTTTTAGATAATTCTTCAAGAAGTGGACTTGTACAGCTCAAAATGTGTATAATACCGGGTTGATTTCCGGCAATTATAAAATAGGGACAGGAGCAAGAAAAAGCAGCTACTTATCTTCAGTGCAGCTTGCAAGGGAGAGAAGTCAAGCACACTGATCTTTGCCTGCACACATTCTAATAATCCATTTAAGGGGAAAAAACTGTCTAAAATTGTCTCCATAACTTTTGTGGTACCATCAAGATATAGAACGCTATGTTAGACCCGCCCACCCCCTGTTTTCACAAGCTGTACCAGGTTCAGCAGAGATATCTGGAAGAGAAATAGATATGGCCCACTGATGTGTCAAGAGCTTACAATTGTACTGAGCTTGGCTACCAAAAAAGCTGCCTGCTCCTAACCAGTATCTGTGACTTACGTATTCAGTGCTCAGATAATGTCCATTTCCACCTAGTTCTGTCTAATAAGGTCAGTACTGTGACTGCAGCCTCTTACAAGAAAGAACAGTGATTTATAATGCGTCTTATTCCCTAGCCAAACCTTTCCTCTAAGATTATTCCTGAGAAGGCCCACACAAACATTCTCTTACATTGGCTTAGTGGGTTACAAAGAATTAAGAAACAGCAGAATCCATTGGGCCACCTGGAGCTCTGATCAAGCTGGTCTGGATGCTGCTTCAATATGCACTCAGCAATTGGGTTTTTATTATTTTAAGGAGCAGCTGTTTCTGAACCTATTGGAATTTAAATGTGCTCTTACAGGGCTATCTTTTGTTGGAGATGGACAGTGACTTGTGTTCATTAAAGCGGCAGGTGTCTGCTCCCATTATGTATTTCAAAAGCTTTTAGCCCTGATGAGGTGTGAAACAGCTGGGCTGGTGCAGAGGCTTTAGCCAGACAAAGTAATGGCCTCTCCAATTCTAGTGTCTATGTGACTTAATACAATTGGTCCTAGACCTTTTTAATAATTTTAAGATGGTGTAATTTGTTCATGGTTAATAAAACAATCTTATGAGTGCAGCCTGTAATGTTTTCCATTACCAGCTTCTGTTCATTTTAACTATTCACAGACCTCGTATACGTACTTTTTATCCTCAGAGCTTCTAGTCTGCACACTCAGCATGTTTCCAGATAATGAGGTTTAATAGGCAAAAGTGGTTTTGATGAACTCACTCTACCTAGTGCCATTAGAATACTTTGGTCCTGCTAAAGAAACCGAAGAAGACTGGGGACTGCATGAATTGGGAGTTAATTCAACTTGCCTGCACTCTGCTCTGTCATAAAACAGAGCTAACACTCTTATACATTTCCCCATGTCAAACCCAGCTCTTCACAGAGAAATGTTCCACCTGCATTACCAGGAAACGTAATTCAGTCGCTTCGTCTGCAATGTATAAACATTTGCTGAGAATTATTAGAGCAGAACTAAAAGGCCATACGTTTCTCCGCAACTGGAAATTGAGTATCCAGACAAAATGCTGCCAAGGCCCTTCGTTCCATGTCCAGCCACAGTCTGCTCTAGCCACTTGCTGCCCGCCACTTGGGGCAACTCGTGGGCCTATCCTCCTGGGGGCTGCTAAAGGGTGGTGCAAAACGTGGGGCGCTGCATTTTGCCCCCTGGGGGTCCAAGCAGTGTTTCGCCTCCCTGGCAGTAGCCCTGGGAACAGGTCAGTGCCAGCCACCAGTTCCGGGACCTAATTATTTTGTATGGATGTGGTGTAAATGGCATCATGCATGCCATTTAATGCAATATTGATTTTGTTAGCTGCTGAACAAACTGGTAAAGATAATGCTCAAAATCGGATAAACTTAACTTTATCTCACTACCTACATGCAGATACACATAAACAACAGGAGAGAGTACAAATGGATGCTGCAATAACATCTGTCACTACTAGAGATAACAGTTTGGTCACTTCTGTTCTTGGTTATCTCTGGTATTGAACAGCATGACGGCCCAATCCATGTGTACTCTTTTTGGTTGTTTATGACTGTATGTTTCTAGGCTGTGATATAAGTAACGTTATCAGATTTTGAACATTATCTGTCTTGGCCAATTCATTCATTCCAACTGATCTGTTGCTTTGAAGATTTCAGTTGGGATATATCTCCTGTTTGGTTTGGTTTGACCATACAAATGGAAAAGCGAGTTTCAAGTCAGTAGCCACATTGTGCATTGCTCTGTACCCCACCCTATTGAGTTCTGCCAGAAATATATGGTTTCATCTCTCCCTGCAAATGAATACTTTATCCTTACAGTCTGTGAGGTAGGCAAAGCTGAGTTATGTTGTGCCATCCATTGTGAGAGGATGTGAACTAGGTCTTCCTGATACAAGTCCATATAAGATCTAGGGACAACAAAGGATTGAGACAAACTCCCAGTCTATAAAACTGAACCTTTGGGAAGCATGCAACACTTTCCAGGATTTCTGTGCTTTCTGGCCTCACTTCAACCTATGCATTCACATGCATCCCGTCCTCAAACCCCAAGGAACATTCCAGGATTTCAACTGCTCCTGTGAGGTCAGGTGACACAGAGCAATTGGGCTGACTATTGTCAGCCTGCTAGTCACAGTCAATTCCAGAAAGCTCCAAGTGATCTCTCCCAGCAGTTTCATAACAGTGACAACAAAGATGGCACCATTTGAACATGGGTTCCATGCGCTAGCCTGACATTTGTCAGAGCACAAGTGCAAGGCAATCTGAATAGCTGTTTTGTTCCTTTTTTGGTGAGTCTATAAGAGGCAGCAGTCACAGCAACTGAGTTCTACTGAGATGAGTGGCAGTCCCACACTGTTAATCCTTTATTTAAAAATAACTTCAAGTTTAAGAGCAGAATGACAGGATCAGAAAATAGTAGGTTCTTGGGAAGCTTTCGGTCTGGTCTATAGCAGGAAAGACTGTTTCACAAATAGTGCTGGAGGGCATTGGTGACTCTTGCTTAGGATTTCTTCAAAGATGCAACAGAGCAAAGTATGACTGGAGTTTCTTTCTTAGCTAGCAAGGCAAGGATTATTTAAATACAGTTGCTTAAATTTAAATAATAGAATACTTGTAAAATCCACTGTTTTTCTTGACTGGGAAATTTTTGAAGTTACCATGGATTCTGCAGCTTGTATTTAGCCAAGTAGCGAGTTGTCGTTCTGAAATTTTAAACACAAAGCAAGGCTAGATTTTGACTTTAGGATATTTGGGGAAAGAGTGTCTTCTTGTTGAATCCCAGGAAACCATTTCCAAACTGTACAAAACTATTGAAGTGTCTGCAGTTCTCTTTGTTAGCAGCTGATAATTCTAATAATATGCAGCCTGTTGCTTATCAGAATCAAAAGGGATTTAAAAGAAACTGCCAGCCCTGAGCTTTCACTAGCTTCATATGGTAGTGCAGCGTGGGCAGGTGCAGGGCCTGGATTTAATCCTTTCTAGCCTCCATTCTTTTGTCTTTGCTTTAAGAAAGACTCATGTTTTTCTTTTTTCTTTGAGCAAAATAGGAACGGAGCAGTTTGTTTCTGAGAACAGAGGTGGCCCTGCACTGTCCAAACCGGTGTGTCCCAGAATTATCTAAGCTTATTCTCCTGATGCATGTAGCAGCTTTTGCAAACCTGGTGAGCTTCAGAAGGGTTGGACTACAGCTCCCATCATCCCCAGACAGTATGGTTGCTCTGGCTGTGGATGATAGGTGCCACCAAGCTGTAGGAGGCTGGTCTATAGCAAAAAAAAAGTTCACCTCGGGATATCAGGCTGTAAAACAGAGAGGTGGGGCCGGTGAGCTGTTGATTGCTGTGGACACATATGTTGGATTAGCACTGCACTGGGATTCAAGCAAGGCAGGCTTTGTGCTAAGATGTACCGCATGGCAACGGATGTGACTTTTCCCACTCAACTGTTTACTGAAAGCTTAATCATGAGTGCTGCTCCAAGGCTATATAAATCTTCTTGTCTTTCCTGTTGAGTTTCCTTTCCCTCCACAGTCATTGAGCACATCTGTTCAAAGCAAAAATGTCCGAAGCAAGCGAGAGGAAATGTACAATTTCAGTCAGCTGGTCTCCATTTTGTGTGCGCATGTTCTTGATAAGCTCATTTTCTGCATTTTCCAAAGGAGGGGGAAAATTCCTGGGAAGGCAGCCAAGCTGTGGTATATTAGCAAAAATACATCTAGGGAAGAGAAGCGCAGCCTCTCTTCGGTGGATACAAATCTTACCTTTCTCCTTTCCTCTCCCTCACAGAAGCTGACAGCAACCAGAATTATGTGACTACCGAGCCTCAGCTGATCTTCTATCCCAGCATTACCTATGCAGTCATTGGCAGCTCAGCCATTTTTGTACTGGTTGTGGCCCTACTCGCGCTTGTCTTGCACCATCAGCGAAAACGCAACAATCTCATGACACTCCCAGTACACCGACTGCAGCATCCTGTCCTCCTGTCCCGGCTAGTCGTCCTCGATCATCCCCATCAGTGCAGTGTCACATACAACGTCAACAACGGGGTCCAGTACATGTCCAGCCAGGCCTATCATAGGCCACCAGACTTAGACTCCCCACCGTCTTATTCAGAAGCTGTGTTAGACCAAAGGTACATTCTACATGCATGCAATCTCACACAAAGTCAATAGAAAATGTAGCTTCTAATTCTTCAGCATTGTTGTTTCTGGCTATAATTCTGTTGTTGCTCATGCCTCTTTCTTTTCATAATATACAGTGATGTAACTGTTTCCCATAAATGTTACTCTGTTTATATGGATTCGCACACCACTACAATTTTAGTTATTTGATAGCTGATAGTACTGAGTCCTGTTTGGATTTGGTCGCATATCTTCTATATTCAAGTCCAGCTTTACATAATTGTCTCCTTTGAAATGCAGTGGTTTAAAATCCAGTGTTTGAAAAATCATCTTTTCCCTATTGAAACATGCAGTATAAAGAGACTGACTATTTCTTGGGCAGTTACTCTTTTAACCTATTAATGTTACTTAGGTTAATATTACCTGAGTTTGCAGATGATTCTAAATGATTCCCTCATCTTAGTGCTATACTCCAAGTCCAGCTGCAGTAAAGGATCAAAGGATATTTTGTTCCTTCATGGTGGGGAAGAAAGCAAGTCTTACTGCAGTATATTGGGTTTGTTGGTTTAAGAGACATGGGTGCACTACTGCAGGAATAAGGGAGTGCAGAACCTGTAAAGGCTGACTAAAAACCTCAAAAAAAAAAAAAAACCCAACTGTGCAAAATATGTGGGCTGTGCTTGTCAGGGATGTATGAGGAGAGCCTCCATCAGGGCCCACATAAAGGATAGGCATGGTTGGGTACTTGCCAGGGACTCACATCCTGGCAGGGGTCCAGTGGCAAGAAGCCCCTCGACTTGCTCTTTCTCTTCACCATTGCAACTTGCCTATAAACGTGTATCTGGCACTGGCCCCGACAGCAGCAGTGAGGAGGACGAGGACGAGGAGGAACAGTAGATGCCCCAGCCTGCTTGCCCACCAGCCCTCTGACCTGTAAAGCGAACGAGGAGTAGCAACGATGAGAAAGGGAAGGAGGGGGAATAGCTGCAAGTGCCAGTGGTGACGGGAAGGTAGATTCACTGGGGAAAAGGGGCCTTGCACAAGGGACCCCCTGAAATTTGGAGCTGATATTGGTCTCCCCCATTGTGTCCTTGCTCTTCACCACTATTCCTTCAAGGACTTCTGCACTCGAAGCATGGAAAGGCTTGACCTCTGAAGAATAAATAATTAAAAGCAGGATTAAACTTTTAAAAAATCGCTCACAAGCAAGGGGGAAATAAGTTGTCATGCACATTAATGGCACCACTAAGTGCCCATGAGATTTCTGCAGCCTTGTTCTGCAGAGCACTTACAGTCACAATTCCCACTTGCAGGAGGAGAACTTGTATTTCCCAGCAAGAAAATATTGAGCTTTATGCCCTACAAGTGTTTGCATCCCTACAGCAGTAGTGTTACTTTGAGAGCAGACATCTGGTTCCCTCGCAACAGATGAGTTAAAAAGCTCATTTACTGTCTCCTCCCCTGCAAAAACAACAACAACCCAAAACAAAAAAGCCTTGGAAAAGAGTTAGGTTGGAACATTCTTTGTTCATGGTTATTTGTGGCAAATGCTGGCTAATTAGTGCTTGCATGCATTTATTCTGAAATGTTTCTCCAGAGTTCAAGAGGAAGCTCTAGAAAATTGGTGGCATGTCCACTTCCTCATCAAACACTGATTTGATAAAAGTACCGTTTGTCTGCGGTCCGTTGGGGGAGCTACCTAGCTACAACTGTGCGTTTTAGAAATGGGAAGTCAGTCAACTCATTTCTTGGCTGTGCCTCTAAGACCAGCACTGCTTTCAGCGATGATGGGTGGCTGCAGCTTTTGTAATGTTGATAGATTTCCAACATGTTTTCGAGTCAGTCTAGCAGTTCAGTTCTTAATCATTATTATCCCGGGGTTGCAAAGAATGAGCAGAGAGAAATGCCCTGTAGCACAGTATTAGCTTTTGCAAAATGTGCAATTAATCTGACTTTTTCATATTTGGGGAAAAAGCCAAGATGCTACATATATTCCAAGCACATTATTTCTGCTTACAAATGTATCTTTAAATGGGACTCGCCAACATCTTCTTTTCTGTGGCAGACTGAGTCCAACTTCCCTCTTATACGCATGTCTCAATGTGTTTTACAAACAGTACTTATCAGCAATTTGAATCCTAGGTAATTGTTCAGTTTTGTACTTTGTATTTATTTATTATGTTTTGACATTTATATGCCACCCCCTACTCTGGGCAGCTCACCACACTTAAAATCACAGGATCATTAAAACAATAAAACTAATAAAAACAATCAATCCATTAAAACAATCAACAATCATAAGACAACAATAAATAGGTCACTTCAATAGAACGATTCAATCCACCAGTAGGACAAACGTAAGATAATACATTGTTACAAACATTAAATTTTGTACCTCTCCCCATGTTTCAGGCATTACATCTAAACATATAGGGTAGCACCACAGGAAAGGTCTTTGGTTAATGTTAATTATTCTAACAAAAAAAGACTTGCAAAATCACTGCTGTGGAACATATGAAAATTATGTTTGTGGTGTCACAGATGCCCACCAATCAGTGCTGTACACAGCCAAATCCTATTTTCTAGCATCTCCGCATTTCCTGAATAGTTTGACCACACTTTGTTACTCTGGGACAATTGCTTTACAATTTGGTGGGACAAAATTCAGCTCGCCTGCGTTTTTTCATGCACGTAGTCACATCTCATCTCATTTGTACCTTGCAGCAGACCTCCATGGTTTGATCTTCCTCCACCTCCTTATTCCTCAGAAACCGAATCCCAGAATCATATAGACCTTCCTCCTTATCGATCTCGGACTGGGAGTATGGCGAGCACAGATGCTACAGTGGCAAGACGCCCAGGAACTACGGATGGCAGTCGAACAAGAGCCACGGCTGCTGGTACGGACTGTCACAGTATCCTGTGTGATATCACAGCTGGGCAAAGTGACTCCCTCATCAACTCAACTTCCGCCAGGGAAGTGTAAACCATTATTTATGAGGTTCTTCTGGATGTCTGCTTCAGCTTGGACAAGAGCAATGACGTTCAGAGTCACCTGAGCTCCTTGTATATGCTGACGGCAGTGCACTGCGGAGCCGCGCACCCTCTTGAAATGAGCTAGAGCTGTGCAGACCCCATTAAACATTCATTTCAAGGAATGTAAAGCAGACAAAAATGCCAAGGGCCCCAGCAATGCCAGGCTTTGAGCAGCATGTTCTGTGTTTGTCAGAACAGCTCTGACATTTCCGTTAGGATTCACCTGGACTTCTTCTATAGTATGTTATGCTTTTAAGGAATTTTAGGGGTGTTTACTATGTGCATGTGTCAGAATATAATATATATATATATATATATATACACACACACACACACACACACACACACACACACACACACACATGTGCCTGGATACACACCTGCATTTGAAAGCATCTCTATGTGTTGTTCTTTAAAATGTGTATTTATGACTGTAAGTATGTATATAATATACTAGCAAGTGAAACTTGTGTTAAGCAAATGTTGATGATTGGTACTAGAAGTCCCTCACGCACACAACTTTCCTGTTCGAGGTGTTTACTGTCCATTCATCATTCCGTGTTCACAGTTGTTCACAGGTTCTTTAGACCATATCATCACCATGAAGTTTTGCTTCTGTTTTTTAAGAGCACTTTCCTGAGAGTGGTTTAAAGCAAGAAAATCGAGTATTATTTCTGAAAGTGAAAGAAAATGTATTTTACAAGTTGTATAATTGTATTATTCAGCCGTAACACAGCCCCATCTAGAGATTAGATAGTGGAAAAGCAAGAAAAGAAAAATTCTGTGTAGAGGTCGTATCTCATTTCTGCAAAAGTATCTGAAATATGTACTGTGGATTAACAGCCTCGTGTAGAAAAGCTCATATAAATTTGAGCCTGAATAGGCGGCAGAACTCCTACAAGCATAACATTCATTCCACTCTCGCGTTTAATCTGCTTTCTGCTCAAAACCTGGACTGTATTCTGAAGTAAACATTATGCTCATGTTTTACATGTTCACCCAGTTTTGAGATCATCTGGTGATTATGATGTACTTATTTTCAACCTTTTTATCCCCCCACTCTCCATAGTTGAGACTTCAAAAAGTCCCACTTTCAGACTTCTATAGTAAAGGGTATGTGTATGCTCTGAGTGTGTAACACAGCTTAACATAGTGTGCACGTCACTTAACCATTTGGTAATGCATTTTGAGTCCTCATTTTCACAAAAACATATCCAATTGTTTCATTCTCTCAAATTCTCTCAAATTATTCTAGTCATCAGGGCATTTCAAGGTACATGTGTGCCAAAAGTAGGTTTTCTGGGTGCCTGAAAATACAACAAAGGCATGCTTTGATTTGTCTTAATTTAAGGGAGAAAAATACACATGCCCTATTTTCATATTTCGCTGATAATCCAAAGTGCCTTGGATGACACACATATCAAATGTCAGAACTGTAGCACTGTGTGTTAGAAAGAAATATTTTCATACAGAAAAAATACCTGCATAACATTTGTATAAGATTATGAAATTCACATGTTACACAGAAAACTCATTTTTACAGGTGCAACATTATTTGTAGACCGCAACAAAAAGTATAAAGCCAAAGTACATATTAGTGCTTCTTCCTGTGTAGACTTAATAGCATTTATCAATGCAAGCACTGATGAATATATGGCCCATGAGTTTAATGTGGAATGGTGTGGAGAATGCTTTGGAATTAGCAGTGCTGGAACGTCATTCAGACAGTCCTTCTAGGAATGGAAGGACCAGGCCTGTTCCAGCTCACTGAAATGCATTGACTGCAAAGCTTGGTCTGGCAATCTACACTCATTTGCAACTTTTTTTGGTAGGGTAGGGTTCCAATGAGAATTTTTTTTTTTCCAAAAGTGAATGCTTTCCTCCATTGGCTGAAGTGTGAAAATGTGAATTTTTAAAATGCACAACTTAAAAGTGAGCATTTTTAAAGCATACACTTTTACCCCCATTGAAGTGTGAATATATGAAATACATATAATTTGAAAAGGCCTTTTATGTGCCAGACATAAAGGAAAGGGTTAACATCTCCTCATTTGATTGGATCCTGACTTGGTTTCCTATGCCTAACTGCTGAGTTTAATTAAGCAAACATTTTAAAACTTGCTAAATAGGTCTTTGGAGTAACATGGAGTTTAACCTGAAGGTACTATATTCATGGACTTTGACTGCTGTGCCTTCTATTTTAATAACTATTCTTTCTATACCACAAATCTCTCGAGGCTGTATATATGTACATCTGTGCATTTTATTTGGACTGTTAAAATAAATGCTTTTTTAATGGTATGTTTGCTTTTTTCGGACAAGCATTTAAGCTAAGTATGGCTCAGCTAATTTGGTTACCAGAGAATATTTTTGAAAAATCTGAATAAAGATCAAAGATTCCCTTATATCAAATAGTATAAGGGAACAATGCCTTTGCATCTCAGTGTAAGAAAAGGCTTGCCAAGAGTACATAATAGACTACCATGTCACAGAATGTGCACTTTTGGTAGATGTTAAAATACCCTTCAAAGGCAGTTATATTTTCATATTCATACATCTTAATATTATGCACTCTAATGTGGAAACATTAAACCCCTGAAGGAGCTATAAATTTTGTGGAATGTTGAGAATTTTAGCATTTCATAACAGGATTTAGTGCAAACCTCAGGTTAAAGAGTGGTTTAAAACTTTATTTGAAATAGTAATGCATAAATAATACTTACCTTTCTCCTGCAAATCCATTAGTTACATTTCTTTTCCTGAAGTTTTGTGGTTGTTTATATAGGCTAGGATCCAAAGAGCTACTTTGGACACACCTAAGGCATTCTGGTTTTATTTTAATGATTTTCTAAAAAAAAAAAATGAATAGCAGCTCTCCGTAGTATTCTGCATATTTGTCTCACAAGTACCATTGTATGCTGAAGATGCATATGGATATTTCGGTGGGAAAGCCTGCTTTACTTTCCAGAATGTGTCTGTAATGATCATATTAAAATACCTGGAAAAGGCTTAAGTTCCACACGAACAAGAGGAACTAGTCCCAAGAAATGAGCTCAGTTGTACAGCCTGCCAGCTTGCTGTGTATTTTCCATAGCAGATTGCATGCATTCGTCTTTCTATTTAGGGTTGCTCTGGAAGTGACCTCAAGGTCATCTAGCCTATCTCTGATCGCTGTTACAGGATCCCTACTTTGTATCCCTGATTTGAAACTGTTCAGCATCTGCTTGTAATCTCCCAAACACTGCTGAGGCCCTCTCTTCCACTGTCAAGCAGCTCATACCATCAAGAAGCTGTCCCTGATGTTGGGTGAACGTGTTTCACTGCTGGCAATTGGCTTTTAATTTTAATGTGCAATTTTAAGGTGATCTACAGAATTTTTCCACATCGTTTTGGAAGATGTTCTAAAAATCCAGTAGACGAAATTGAACTGCTGCAGACATGCTCTAAGGCAAATGAGTCACTGCTATTAACCTGTACATCTGCTGCATGCATCCGACTTCCTTTTGAAAGTATACCCTCTTCGTTATGCACTTTCCCATTACTAATTAACCACTTTATAATCAACGTCTCAAGATAGGTATTGGCTGTACTCCAGTAGATCTATTTACACACTTGCCAGAAACGACAGCTTCGTCAGTGCTTTTTGCACAACACCCAATTTTATTTATTTTTAATTTTGATTTGTTTCAGCATGTCTAAGAAATGTCAGACTGCTTTGGAAAAGGTATCTGTTTTTTTTAATGTGCTATTCAGGGGAGAGGATGTTACTCTGGGGGAAAAATATAAAATACATTTACATACTCTTGTGTGCTGTGGCCATATTATTCATTCAACACCCTTCCTAATTTTTGTTTAAATTGGTGGTCTCCTGACAGTTTCAGAGGCACGCAGCTCTGTAGCAGCAATTCACATGCATAACCCACGAAGTCCATCAAGAATGTTTTCTCACAGGGATCCCCAACCCCCTACTTCTTGCTGCAAAGATGCATTCACAGCTGCAGTATTTGACATCATTCTAGAACGAGTGGGAAGCTGTGGGTGTCTTTCTGTGAGTGTGCACTGCAGCATTTCAGCTGACATTATGAAGTACCCACGTCCTCGAGCCTCAATTTGTGTCCCAATCATCTTTACATTTACAAATGGATCGCATCGGGCTACCATTTCATTAGAATTCCACTGCTGCGCAGCTGAAGCTGGCTGTGCAAGAGACAGTTGAGGAGAAACAGGCATGTTGCTCTCCCCCATATCATCAGCACCATCTTCTAGTGTCTCTGTAGCCTACCTGTTATTTGCAGGTTTTCTTGAGGAACTGCCAATTGGACCAACTCCTCACAGGGACACTCATTAAAGTTATTTGAAAGACAGCAGCTGAGTTCAGATATCATGCTGTTCAGTTGCCCAATTATGGTTTGGCAGCTGGAAGCTGCACACAGCTTCTTCTCCATGGTTCAGGGAGTACCTACATGTTTATTGATACATACTTTATTCATTTATCTTATTAATTGATTTATACCATGCCTTTTTACCAAAGCTGCACTCAAAACAGCTAATAATAAAATACAAGTTAAAGACTCTTAAGTCAAACATATCATTAAAACATGCATAAAGGTGCAAAGAAAATAAAACAAAATTAAAATTTCCCTTCAGCAACAGGCTAGCTTACATGTCAAGTCTTCCACAAACAGGGACTGGTTGTTATTCTCACATAACTCCAGTCCTCTATCAGCTACATTGACTTCCCATTGAAGTCCAGGCACAATTCAAGGTGCTGGTTATTACCTATAAAGCCCTTAATGGCTTGGGGCCAGGATACCTAAAGGAACGCCTTTTTCCCTATATGCCCTTCTACCCCCTAAGATCGGCAGCAGAGGCCCTCCTCTGGGAACCCTCTTTGAAAGAGGTTAGGAGACAGTACTCGGAGGAGAGCTTTCTCTGTGGTGGCGCCCGACTGGAATGCGCTCCCTAGAGATGTCCACCTGGCACTGTCATTATATGCTTTTCGGCAGCAGGTCAAGGCCTTTTTATTTAACCAATATTTTAAAGTTAATTAATTTTAATTTTATTTATATTTATTTAATTCATTTTAACCATGTTATTTTATACTCTGTCATGGTGTAGCCAATTTATTTATTTGTTTAGGATTGATGGGTTTTAATGTTTGTAAACCGCCCAGAAAGCCCTCTGGGCTATTGGTGGTATATAAATGCAATAAATAAATACTGAAAGACACGAAG